CTTCCCCCCCATCTGCCTTAGACTGGTCTGAAACTGTCCCCTGGCTTTCTTGCCCTGATTGTCCCGGGGCTAAATCTTTGACCACCAAAAACCCACACTCAGGGATCGTTAACCCCAGTGCCTGCACGTCCATCTCAATGTAACCTATGTAAGGTATTGGCAGTGAGTTAGCTGCAGTTAACTTCAGCCAGCCGGCTGTGGGGGATAAATCCTCATTTCTCCCAAGTAGATGCTGCCGAAAAAATGACTCAGAAATGGTGCTAACCTGGCTCCCCGTATCCAACAGGGTTCTTGCCTTGACTCCCCCCACTTCCACTTCAACCTCTGGGCACTTCCCAACAGCACATTCTAAAAATCGCTCACGAGTTAGGGTTTCAGAGCCTTTGGTCACTCCTCGGATTGCTCGGCTCTCAACATCCGAGGGGGCTAGTTTCCCGGAACATGTGCGTCATTGGCAGTGGGCGAACGTTCGGGTCTATTCTGCCTACCTTCCCTGGCAATGTGTCCTACCCCTTTGCATTTAAAACAAATTGGCCTTCCCTCGTCTGTGAACTGAAACCTTGGTCTGGGCCTTGCACTTCTGAATGCATTCTCCCGGAGAGTGACACTCTCCTTCACCGCATTGACCAACTCTCCTATAGCCTTGCCTTGCTCAGTAACTACTTTAAGAATTTCATCTAGCGTTGAAGGGACCTTATCCGGTGCACCCCCTGCACCTTGACTCCGCCCCCCCACTCGGTCACACAGTACACTCCTGCTCTTGGCCACTTTTGGACCATTGGGCCTATCCTCCAGTGACCAAGCAATGGCTTCCTGCCGCACATCTAAAAGTGTGGATTCTGGTTTCTCCCTGACTGTTTTGCGAAGCTCTCTCCTGAGAGAGGAATCCTGGATTCCCTCTATAAACTGGTCTCTGACAGCTATTTTAGCGTCAGACACTGCAGATGGCTTTTGCTTAAGGGCAGAGCGAAGGATTTGGGACAGTGCATGTGAGTATTCAAAGAAATCTTCACCCTCTAACTGATAACGGCTGTAGAATGTTTGCAGGAGCTGAGCTACGCTACGTTTTTCCCCATAAGCTTCTCTGAGAAAATTGAAAATTTCACCAGGGCCATTTGCCTGTTCATCTGTGCACAACTTAACCTCCTCAAGTGCTGAGCCCCGGAGAAGAGAAAGTATGAAATCAACCTGGTCACCATCACTTAAACCTCTAGTTCGGATCGCCCGTTGTACCTCATCAATGAACTCATCAATCGAGCGACCATCAACCAGAACATCACCACTGAAAGGTTGGACTGGGCGGTCACGGGGCAAGTACACATATGACCGGTTGGCGCCACTACTCAGGGCGTTTATTTGAGCCATGGCCTGGCCATGCTGATCACTCAGCGCAGCCAACTTAGCCTGAAGTTCAACCACAGGGTCCATTTCCAGCGGCTCATCTTCTCTCTCTGCGTCTGACATGGCAAAGTGTCTGTATGAAAACTGAAAACCAGGAATAGAATACAAAAGCTTATCGGATATTGTCCTAGCTGGGTGTCCTGAGGTCCCTTGATTTTCCTCCGCAGATCTGGTAACACGCGGTCGTCGTCACCACTGTTGTCCTCCCGTGGCCTGGTCTCGTAACTCTGTCCTCCCGAACAGCCTGGCCTCGGTGGTCTTCTTCCAACACCAGGTGCCGCCGGTTCCCACCACCACAGTTATTTCTGTACTATGCTTCCTACTTCTACACTTTCCAACCACCAATTATGCAGAACCCCACTCCTGGTACCAAAATTGTGTGGCCTGGTGAAATTAAACCAGCGCAGGACACAACAATGTCTTTTGGGTGTTTTATTCTGACTATAAATAATTGTGGTTTTCTCCAGACAAAATATAAAAGGAACAAAATAATGACTCAAACAACAGTCAACCCTGTCCCTCTCTCGTTCGGTGCGGGACGTTTACAACTGCGCCCTTGCCTTGAAGTACAACAAAAAAAAATGCTCTTCCGTTGAAATAAGGAATACAGAAAATACAGAAATAACTGTGATGGCACACTGTACAAACAAACAAAGAGCACATACATTAGACATCAGAAATTTAACATTTCTCCTGCTAGCCTAAAACATAATAATGAATGCGGAGTTAAAATAAAACCTAACTGTACAGAAAGTCCGTCTGCAGTAATCGATGCACGACACACTCCCCAAATCCCACGGGTCACACGCTGGGACTAAAATCTGTAAACATCCAACATATGCATCGCTATAAACAAATGAAACTTACAGAATTACGTACACACAACACTCTTAGGCGACTGTCAACTTACATTCGGTTAGTACAAACTCGCGGTGTACAAGATTTACCTTCAACAACCAATTACAGAACTTCCGCTGAAATACCGCTTCAGTCAGGTAAACACACATGGCTTTTTATGTTTCCCAGAATCCAATGGATTGATACCCAGCATCCTCTACGTTCTTAGGGTTACTTCTCTAAAAGCGGTAGCACCCCTTTTTCCATATCTAACAGGTGCATTTCCACCTGGCTACAT